CACCTGAGCCATGAAGAGGTCATCTTTTTTAGATGTCTCAAAAAGCCAGCCCAAAAGCTCTTGTAGTCACATCTACAATTTATGATCATAAATGCTGGAATGATCGTACCAGCACATTCTTCCTCCTGTTGAAGTCCCTAGATCTATAGTTGAAACCACCTTTTAAACACCATCTTCTCTGTTCATGGTAGAGATGGAGAACACCTAGTTATCTTTCTCTTTCTATGAATACTTTGTACATGGAATGGATATTAGTTACAATCCATCATAACCTCCATCTGGACATGCACTGTGGATTTTTCCTAACCTGTCACAGATATTTTTAATATATTCCATTGATTGTCAGTACCATCTCCAGAATCTCTTCTTGCCACTCTTTGCAACATCAAAAGAGCAAACTGATCTTCAAGAACATCAAACTGATTTTAGGTCCTGTCCACGCCAAGCCACTCTGGCTGTGTGTCTTGATTTAGCCTGTTTCCTCTCTTTGGCATGCTCTTCCCATTTCTTCATGTAAAGGGAGTTTGCACATTCCTCAATGCAGCGTGACTGTTACCTCCTCCAGGAAACTTTCCTGGATCTTTTTCCCTCCGCCAATTCCCGTGCCCTTCCATGGAGCTCCCGTTATACTTGTGACAGCCTGCAGCTGGTTCATATGGCCCAGGTAGCCTGGCATTCTGGATTGGGCTCTGATGGATCCCCTGGCCAGGCACCCTTTTGCAGTCTGTACAGCCATATAGAATGGCCCTGCTTTTTGGCACATAGCAGACATTCAGGAAATGTTGAATGAATTATCTTTAGAGTTTTCCAGAACCATCTCACAATCGAAGTCCTGTTAAACGTGGCATCTAGAACTGAACAAACCAGTCTGTGCTGGTTAGGGTCCTATTAGGCAAAGTCTGATCAGAAATGGGGGCACACCAGGTTTAAGGACCACTTTTGTTTTTTCCTTTATGCCAAAAACCTCCATAGTTCCAGCCTTCTCCTGTGAACGCCCACAAGCCGCCATCTCTGTCTCCAGTTGTTCAATCTGTTTTTCCTGCAAGTGTGGAGAAGCATCTCTACATCTTCTGTCCCCGCCTGCCCCATTCCCAGCTTATCAAGGCCTCTGTCCTCAGATCCCTTGTTCCATGGTGTTGGTGTCATCACCAGGAATTGCAAGCCACTCTGCCCCTGTGTCTGGGCCACCAATTTATCACGAGGTTCTAAATGAAGTCCTGAGCACTGTGAGTCAGTGCACATCACCAGGGTTATCTGCTTATTTTTATTTCTGGATTTCGTTGTTGGTTGGATCCTTGGACCAGCATCAAGCTATCCCAGAGAGCTATGGGAGAGCTGCCAGAGCTGCTGTCACCTGTGCTCTTTGCCCACTCTTTTGCTGATGACCACAAGAAGATTGCCCCCCGCCCACCCAGGGCCTCTGGGCAGCCTGCTGGCACAGTTTGGTTTCTTGGATGCAGCTTTTCAGGGAGCTTCCTCTGCACTGGAGCAGGGCTCTGAGTCCATACAGAAACAATTTCCTTCCCACTCAAATTATTTGTACTATCTGCTTGCCCCCCACTTTTCCCAATCACACTGGTATTACCCTGGGTTTTAGCCAGCCTGATAAATAGAGGAATTTGGATCCATTTCCAGTCTTCCTGATGTCATGATTTGGGGCAGTCTGCACTGTGGGAGGTTTCAGTTAATCCTAGCAATTGGTGAGTTTGCTGCTCTTCTCTGAGAAGCTTCTCTGGTCCGTGCCATGTCTTACATAAGTCGATATGGTTCCTTTTGTGACCTGCCCTTTCCTTTCAATGATGTAAGAGACCCAAACATTGGCAGCCCCTATGTTTTGTTATTGGAGTGCTGGTGTTGAGAGAATCCTGATCCCCTTTAGTTTTCTAGGAGATAAAGGATAGTGGGTGTGTGGCGGTCAAAGGGTCAACGAGGGCTCTGAAGACTGAAGGAGATGCAGTTCTTAAGTTCAGGCCTCAGTCCACACATTTGCACATCATTGCTTTGACTTTCTTTTCCACAACTTGCTCAAATGAGTTCCTGCTCCCCTGCTGAGAAGTTGGCTTCTTGGCTCCCAGACCAGAAGTCTTTGTGTTCTCAATGGGGCCTTTCTAATTGGGTTAGAGCAGAGCTGGGGAGATGAGTTCAGCTGAGCTAGTGATAGCACTGCCTCCCAGTCAGCCTCCCTCTGAGCTTGATTTAAGAGCTCTGTTTGGAGAACCCATATGCCTTGTCCCACCTTCGGTTCTGCTTTACTTTGCCACAAGAAATACACTTCCTGTAATGGTGTAAGTGGTACATGGATATGTATCTCTGTTCTACAGCATAAAATCCGGCTTCATCCTACCCCCATCTTTTCACCACCTGGCCGTGGAGGCTTTCTGGGTTTCCTTCCAGGCTTTTTTGCATGCATTTACACTTGTCACTGTATAAGCAAGCACACGTACAATATGCTTACCTTTGCTTGTTTCTTTTTTTTTTTTTT